AGAAAACGTGAGAGGAAATTGGAAGTGTCTTGATTCATTTCATGTTCCCTAGCATGCTGCATGTACTGATAAAACAGGGCAGAACAAGATTGATGCCAAGGAATACATGACTGATGACACCAAATTATTACAACAAAAAATTGGAAATGATCAAATTATGTACACTTTCGTCAAAATTTTGCATGATGATTATTGATTTTGTCATAAAAATACTGATGTGAGGTTGCATAATTGTTAACCGGGTTAAATTTTTCAATCCTTTTTGAACAAAAACATATGTGGTTGTTAGATGTCATTTTTATTTACTCTTTTATTCGTTTTTTCTTTTTTTTCTTTTTCTTATTTTTATAATCCTGAACGTTGAAGATATGTGGCCTGCAAGAACTAGAGATGCTGCAAAACGAAAGAAGTTGAAAGTGTGCAACACCAAAATATGTATTATAATGACAAAAGTTCACAAGCAATATACTCCAAGAAAGATCAAACATTCATCCTTTGTCCACATTCTGAACTCCCAGTTGCCAAATAATGAATGGTAATTAAGCATAATCCATGACAAACTTGTGTTACAGATGGTCCTCAACTTAAATATACTGTGTGATTGCACTAATAAGCACATGATCTCACAAAACACACACTTNGTAAAAAAAAAAAAAAAAAAAAAGAATTATACAACCAAACACACACAGAGACAAAGGGATATCCTCAAATTCGATCCATAAGACCACACACTTTCATCTCCTGAGCACACTGCAATTAATGAAGGTACTTTTATCAGAATAAATGCACAATTAAGTCAATCGGCCAAAATACATCAGTATACAAAGAGCACGGTGTGTACCACAACAAATCGGGCAGAAAGAGAAAAGTAGTGCGAACGTTTCTGTACATGAAAATATTTGTGGGGAACTAACGTGTGTTTTTATCTTCCATGTGTTTGCTTGTACGTATATAAATTGCAGAATATGGTGAAACCAGCTTGAAGAATCAGGGGAACTAAAGGCTTCATTTGATATAAGATTTTCCCGACTTGATAAGACTACCAAATTTTTCTTTGTTTCAAAATTCCAGAATAGGGAACACTACAAGAAAATAAGGAAATTACATGGAAATATATTTGAATAGAATTTCAATGGCAATTCCAATGGATATTTCAATACTATTATTTAATTCCAACAAAGATATTCCGTTGAAATGAGTTTTCTATTGGAATTTCCGTTGGATTTTGACGACTCCAACGGTGGTGGAAATAAAAATTCCAACAGAAAATTGCATATTCCAACGGAAATTTCTACGGTCAAAAGCCATTGGAAATATAGCAGTTGAAATCATCAAATTCCATCTAAAATTCCAATGAAAAATACATTCCAACGGAATATTTTCGTTGGAAATGGAAGTTATACCATTGGAATATTCGTTGGACTTTCCATTGGAATATATTACCATAGGATTTTCCGTAGAAATATAACATTTTTTTTTTTTTTGTAGTGGAAGAAGGTAATTCGAAAANGAAAAAAAAAGAAGAAGAAGAAGAAGAAGAAGAAGAAAGAAAGAAGAAAAGAAAAGATGTTGTAGATGCAGGTCAAGCAGCATATCATGACCGAAGGAGAAGAGAATATCAAGGCACCTGATTAACTGTGTCCTTCAATCTAACATTGGTATTCTTAAGATCAGAAGTTGCCTTGTCCACCTGCAAAGGATCAAAATAAATGGGTTCTTGCTCAGAAAGCTAAGGTACCAATCGCGTCCAGCATATGATTATAAAAGCTACTAAATCTGCTTTACAAAGACTATGGTACTGCCTAAGGCGGGCAAAATATAAAACAAGTATTCCATCTAGCCATTGTAAATGTTGGTATGCTGCAGCAAAACCACATAAAAAACTCACAAAATTTTTAAGTTTGCTTAAAGCATCATGGTCTTCTTTGTTGAAATCACAAAACTAGACAATGGATATTGGGCTCACTTAATTAGAAAGAGACAAAACACATGAACAAGAGACACGATGAGAAAGACAAAGAGTGTGTTTGGTAAACAACATAAGCTAGCTTATAGCTTATTTGGTTAGCTTATAAGCTTCCTTTATGCAAATAAGCTTGGTTTGGTATGGCGAGTTTTTTTAAAAAAACTCGAGCTTATTTCATAAGCTTCTTTGAGTAGTTTTTCAAATAAGCCCGTTAAAATTAATATTTCACCTAGCTTATCAGCTAAATTTACCAAACACTATCATCATATCAGCTAGCTTTTCAACCATAACCCATAAGCTATCAGCTATAAGCTAGAAATTCATTTATAAGCTATCGGCTCATTTATTGTCTATCAAGACAATGAATCATATAGAAACCCATATATGTGAGGGGAATGGAGAAAGAGGGGTTGAATCTAAAGGTCTAACCTTAGTATCGATCTCATCCATAAGAGGAACTTGTCTGTCCAATTCCTGCATGAAAAGCATGGCATCAGAAAATATCATTAGCGATTACCGTAGATTAACGAAGTAGAAAACCACAAACAGACCTCATTCATGTCATGAGCCATGTTCTTCAAAGTATCCAAACCCTCTGCTATGACATCTAATCCTTGGTCCTGCATTACAACAGTAAACAACGAGTAAGATATTTACCAATTAAAAAAAAAATCTCAAATAATCCACAATATATACTAAGGGAGAAAACATCACATGCCTGTTTCATTTTCCGCATTTCATACTCTTGCCTGAATTTGCTCGACTCTTCAGTTTGCTGAAAGTATTCATCATCAAAGCGCCCATCTAAAACAAAAAATTCCACATGTTCAACTTAATGACTAATGAATAGACAGACCCACCAACACACCCACACCCCAAGTGCGTTAAAGAGCAAACCGAATGAATTATGAAACAAATAAAGAGGCAAATTTGCTAACTCTAAGTTTAGGAATTGAACACACATTTAAGGATCGATAGACACCTGAATCAAATTTGATCTCCGATCGAGGAGCTGAAGTTCCCCAACTCGAAGATGATTTGGGTGCAGGTGCAGAGCCATCAGGTATGGCCTGAATCCGATCAGGCAATGCAAGAACAAGGTCATTGCGAGTAGCAAGTTCTTCTGTAGAAAGTCCTTTGACCTGCAACAATAATATAGCCAATAGGTAAACACAGTCCATAATGCCAAACTAATGCCAAACTCAATAGGTAAACACACTCCAAAGCTGAAAATACCATTTAGCTTAAACATATATTGGGCATTGTGAGCATGCTTCGTAATCTAATGGATTAGGCCAATCTCCATTTCATCCATAGCAGACTGTCTACTAGTAAACTAAATTCAACTGGTTTTATAGAGATTGAAGTTTGGAATGTGTTGCTAATCGTAAAAAGAACCAATTTTTCCGAAACTGACTTTCTAAGATCTTTTATAAAACTGATTTCGTCATAATTGAATCTAGATTCTGCAACTAAAACCCTCCAAAACTTCTACCCAGATTGTAAAATTACAGAAAAAATGAAGTATCTAAGTCACCCATGATAAAAAGTGAACCAATACCACTAAGTAGAAAAGAAATCAGAAAGAATTAGGTCAAACCTTCTTAACGGCTAATCTCTGCAATTTGGGGACCTCTTCAAGCAATTTGGCCTTAGTCCTCCGAATCTCGGCATTGATCGCTACAGCCGACGCCCTACTCTTCTCATTCGAAGCCGTCTCCGCTTTCTACCAAAAGAGACAAACCCAGTCACAATGGAAAAAGAAAAAATCCCACAAACCAAAAACTCGCTAAAACACGACAAATCAAAACCTGAAGGAGGGATTCGATGTCGGACTCGACGGATGTGTAGAGGCGGGCGAAGGCATCGTCGCCGGCGACATTGGAGTCCTTCAGCGCGATGTCATACTTGTCGTACTTCTTGCAGATCGCGTCCACGCGAGTAAGTAGATCAATCACGCTCATCTTTCACCGCTTTCTCTCTCGCGATTTTTCTGAATTAGATTAAAGATTTCTTGCGAGCTAGTCAAAACTATAGGTTAGGGTTAAAACAAGAAAGGGATTTTTGTTCTTGAACAGGCTGGAAAACGAGTGGTGAGGCCGTGAGAAGAAGAAGAGAATAATTGAGGTTTAATTACAATTTAGCCCCAAAACAATTTGGGATATGGCATTTTGGCACCATTATTGAATCATCAAAGATTCAAAACATCAAAAGATGGCAATTAATGTCACGATTTGGAAAAGTTGGGTTAAAAAACAAATATTGATGATCTATTTTTGCACCTTGTGGTTTTCAAATATTCAAGTTGTGATTTGTTTTGGCATGATTTCCAAAACCCATTATGGTCTCAGTTTCAGGTCGAAATCGCCGGTTCCGAGTAAAGGGTTGGACGATTCTGAACCAACCTGAACATATACACGAGACAGTTCCGTGAACCGTCGATTCCGGGTCGATTTGGCGAACTGTCGGTTTGGGGCTGGCTCAGTTCACTAAAAAAATAATAAAATTTTCAAAAAACAAAAACAATCAACGGAACCGGCCAAACGGTTCAAAAAGTACGTATATGTGGTCTAAAACTGGCCTGGTCAAACCACGAACTCAGTTCAAGGCCCGTTGACCACATGCTGGTTCGGCATGTGGTCATATCTACTTTCATTAACACAATAAGGTAATTTTGTGTATCACGAGAAAAATTTCCGATCCGTAAGATGACGACTTCTTCTTTCTTTCTTTTTTTTTACTTTTTTATTTCATAAATCTCATTCTTTGTAATCGTTGTAGTGGATCGTACTTTTTTGAAGCCTCAATATTATGATTAACGTGAAAGTTTTCTAGTAGCGTTTTTCTAATGAGATAATTTCTGCAATACTTTATCTCTATATCACGTCCTTTTACATGATATATAGATGTAAGTTATGTGGATATGGATGAGGTTTCCTTATTTTACTCTTTTTTTTTTTTTTAATGTTGGAAATGGTGAAGAGAACGATAATTTTGGTGTTCTACTTTTTTGCTATCGACCACACTTTTCATGTTTATGGATAAAACATAATCTCAATACAATGGGTTTTGCATATTTTTGCTATTTAAATTTGGGGATGGTGGATTGAAAGATAAAGAAAACGGCAATATGAGCTTTGCGAGTTTGCTAAGGAAATGTCTATGAATGTGTTTAATGCTTCATTGACTTGTTTCTAAAGAACAATTAACTAGAGTTAGGTGAGGAGGGTGAAAATGAATAGCTTATACGTTATGCGATTAAAGAATTCTTAGATGAGATTACTTAATTGTTAGGATTTAGGAACTTTCGATTTTCTATTGTAGTATAAATTAATAAGATGACATAATTTTCTTAAAAATTAACTTTTAATTTAATGCTAGTCTTTTTTTCAACGTTAATATTATCACATATGAACTGTATCTCCAATTTCAATCTATTTGTTTGTTAAAACATTTGGTAAGATTAATTCCTTTGCTCTAGAGACATTTTGTTTTTTACTTTTCATAATCTTATACTAGTACGTAACCCGTGCGATGCACGGGATGTAAAATTTAGAAGAATAATATAACCTCACGTACATTAGGATCGAAATTGAAATCATTAAAGTATATAGGAACATTGTTGAATCATAAAAAGTTCGGTAACAATCATATATTATTAAAAATCTCCTTGTACACAACATTATGAGTTTGATTATTTGGTAACTCCTCATTATCACAAACTAATATTTTCAAAAGAGACAAATCCTAAAAATCAAACTAATATTTTTGGTGAACAAACTAATATTTTAGGATTGGTGAACAAACTAATATTTTAGGATTTTTAGGATTTGTCTCTTTTTGGTGAACAAACTAATATTTTATGATTGGTTATATGAATAAGACTACCTGTGTTTGGTGTTCTTTTCATTCATTTTCATTCAAACAATCCGATGACTTGTATAATGAAATCCGAATCTTAAGCCGAAATATTTAAAAAAAAGAGTTTTTAAAAATTGATAAGTTAAGGCAATCAGTTCAGATTAATTAAAGATAAAAGAATATCCGCTCCTTGAAACAAAGACGTGTGCTATCATTAACCAAATATCCAGTTATTGATATAGAGTGGTTACCAAAAAATAGAACGCGATAAGAACGCGTAATGGAAATATCAATGGGATAAGGTCATAACAGATCGCTATACATTTTAACGATAAAAGATCAGATGGAATGATTTATGATAATTATGTCGTAATTAATGAATTAATTAGATGTGTGAAAAGAACATAATTAATAAGAAGTGTGAAAAGGACATAATTAATGAGAAGTGTGAAAAAGACAAAAACTTACCGGTTTTGGAAAATATTTAATGCAAATCCGACATTGACCATAATTTGACCTACTATTTTGGATAAATGTTAATTCTTATTATATAAGTATAGATTACGAGCAACTGCAGTGACGTGGCCTTTTGATCATTCTACATTAATCTCAACTTTATTTATAAGCAGTTTTTTCAGAGAAACTTTAAAAAATGTCACCCTTTT